TGGTCACTGATCCACCTTCCGCTCTTTCTCTCTCCTCTGCTCCATAAACTGCGCGAACTCCTTTCTTCACAGCGCACCGTTCCTTCGCTGCGTGAACATTTTCCCACTGCCTCCGGCATGTGGACTTTTCATAAACCCTCCTAGTCCGTTTGGAACCTCTTACCTGCGGATTTCAGTATCTATCATCATTGCCTTCATGCCTTTTTTACAGTGGATATACGTGGCCTCAGGGGTTAATCGGGGGGAGCTTCAGATGTTACTCTCACAGGTTGCCCCACCCTGTTGGTGTTTGCTTACAGGAACCAAAATTACACTCTGCTGTTATTTCTCTCCATCTCAGGCTATAATTTATTGTATTCTTCAGACCTTTTCCTGTTGGGACCTTTAATGTAAGTGCCCTTCTTCTCCGCACTGTTATTCCGTACCATTCTGCATTTGTTCATACTTCGCTGCATTACACAGCAGCCCGTATCCACTTCCCCCCCCCCCCCCCCCCCCCCTTAGGTGGTTTACGCTCGTCTTTATATCTCTTCTCCTTCTCGGCATTATCTAGTCCGGATTTTTTGCCTTCCTTGTTTCGTCCATTACGCACCAATTCTGTTACTGGTGATTTTAATGCCCACCATTTCTCTGGGGAGGTCTCACTGTGATTCCCGTGGAATTCAGGTTAGAGGCTTTTCTTGCCACCCACCCCCTCCATGTTTTAAATTACAGGTACTCACACCATTTTGATCCTCGGACTCTTACGCTCTCTTGGACATCTCGATCTTCAGTTTGCTCTTCCTCCGCCCGATTAGACTTTACTTGGTCTGTTCTCCCGGACTTACATGACAGTGTTCATTCCCAATCATTCTTTAACTTCCCCTTCTTATTTCGCCACCTCTTCGCACCCCACGTGGCAATTTAATCGGGCAAATTGAACACTTTACTCACATCTCCTGACTGTTTTTTATATGAGGTTCCTTCTTAGTCATCCATCGATGAGCTGTTACACTCTTCTCATCCTCCGTTGCACCGCAGTTCTCATTCTATACCCCAAACTTCGAGCAGGCATTCTCAGAAAATGCGTGCCTTGGTGGTCTCCTGCTTGTGCTCGTGCAGTACGTTTTGGGAAACGAGCTGCATGGGGCAGGTACCGGTACAAAGAACCACCAGAGCGATCCTTGATTTTTAACAGGGAAGCGTGCGGATCGCTCGCCGTGTCATCCGTTACGCTAAACGCCACTTGCTGGCGTGATTATGTCTCCACATCACCTCTGCTTCCGCTATGAGTGCAGTCTGGAAAAAAGTACGAAAACTGAGATGGTAAATATTCTCCTGACCCGCTCCTGTTTTCTGCGGGTTTGCCGGTGTTGATATAAGCATATCCACTAGATGGTGCCAATGACAATTGGCAATCATCTGGTTCGTATTTTCTCAGGGACTCCCCACTATGGCCCCTCATTTTTTCCTTCAAAGTCTTGCCATGAGGAGATGCCCCTTGGACTGTTCTTCTCTCAGAGAAGAAACGTATTAATGTGCCTTTACACTTCAAGTACTGGAAGGCAACACTCTCAGCTTGTCGATCATCGGCAGCTGGGCCAGACGACATTCATATTCGTATGCTTCAACATTTAAATTCAGTCAGCCCTTGCAGTCCATATTACGCCTTTACAATCTTATTTGGTCACAAGGAGTTCTTCCACAGGCTGGTGAAATACGCCATTGTTTCTCCCTTTCGCAAAACACCAGGCACTCGGGACATGAAACCTCCCACTTCGTCCCATTTGCTATTACCAGTGCAGTTTGCAAAGTAATGGGAAAACGTCTAGTAAATAGACGTTTAGTGTGGTATTTAGAGGACTCACAACAGTTCTCTCCACTCGTCAATATGGCTTTCGTAAGGCACACAAAAAGGACGTTCTACCATAGACCCCTTACTGCGCTTGGATACGTTTTGTTCGTAATGCCTTTGCCGAAATAACCTCTCTCAGTTATTGCACTATTTTTTGATATTGAGAAGCTTTATGGACACCAACTTGGAGTATAATAATTTAGACCCAAGCCCACTCCTTAGGCCTTCGAGGCATTATACCATCCTTCCGTAAGAAACTTTTTAACTGACAGGCATTTCCGTGTTCGGGTTATAATGTGCTCTCCCGGGACTTATCAAGCTGAAGGTGTCCCCAGGGGTGTTCTGAATACAACACTTTTTCTCCTTGCTATTAAATGATTGGCCTTTCTTCTTCAAATATTTTGGTCATCCACTCTATGTTCTTGATGACTTCGCTATGGCCTGTGCATGGCGCTGACTGCACCTCCTTACAGTTTGTCTCCAGCATGCAGTCGACCGTGTTTCCATTGGCCACCCACATGTTTTTAAATTTTCCAGCACTAATACCCACAAATCACTTCACTAGTCGCTCTGTCATCTCTGATCATCTCCTTTGTACCTCTATGGCTCACGTATCCCTGCACGTGGATTCCGTCAAGTTTCTGGGCCTCCTCTTTGATCGTAGGTTATCTGGAACCTAACATTACCTCCTGAAGGAAACTGTCACAGCCGGCGGAACCTTCTTAAAACCCTTGCCTCATCTTTCGTGGGGGGCTGCATCGTCGGAACCTCCTTCACCTACATTCCACCCTTATTTTATCGAAACTTGATTATTGGTGGACCAGATCTTTTCAGCGGCTTCTCCTGCTACTCTCTCTAGACCTTAACCATGTCATCACCAAGGATTAGTTATGCCTTGGTGCTTTTCGCTTCCCCTGTCGAAAGCTCTATGCAGATGCGAACGTTCATCCTTAATCGATCGCCGTGATGACCATTGCTGCGCTACTATGTCACGCCTCATGATACTCCGCAATCCTTTCCATTTATAGAATGGTCACCTGATATTAGTAGACATTCTTTATTTGTTCGCCGCCACTTGCTTACTCCGTTCCCTTCTCTTTCGCCTCATACGTCTTGTCTTCTTTCTAACTACCACCTTTCTTGTACATGTAGAATACACTTTTCCCTACCCCCTGGGAAGTTCCAGGCGTTCGTGTCGTTCTTTCTCCATACTGGCACGAAAGCCCATTGGTCTACGGTCGTTCCCGCTCTCTTTTTCTGAACCACTTTCACTCTCATTTCTCATGCCAATGCTGTGTACACAGATGGCTCTAAGTCTTTGACGGCGTAGGATTCGCGCAGGTTTTCCGGACGCGTAGTACAAGGGCATTTACTTATCTTCAAGCTAGTATTTTACGGCTGTATTATATGCCATCCTTATCTGCAATTATCCGTATTGCATCATAATGCCTGTGTCATATTTGTGGTTGTCTCAGTCTCCCTTAGTGCTTTACAGGTATACAAAAATTTGATTCACCTCACCCTTTGTCCTCGTATCCATACTTATGGATTACGCCGATCTTTACTAAGCAGTAAGTATTGTTTTTTGTTGGGTCCTGGTCATGTTGACGTACAGGGCAATGAACAGGCAGACACTGAGCGCGGTCAGAAGTACATGACCTACCAGTTTCTTATAGGGTATTCCATGTACGGACTATTTTGCTGTAATATCTTCCACCTTCACACCCGTTGGCATACTACTGTTGGGCTACTATGCTCCGGCAACAACTTCAGTCTGATTAACCGAGTATAGGTTACGGGCGGTCTTCTTATCCACCAGTGTCGAGGTTTGGGAGACTACTCTCTCCCGTCCTTCGCATTGGCCAATAATCGTCTTACTTTCCATATGGATTATTCTTGGAAAGGCGTCTTGCTTCTCTGTGTGAATTCGCCAAGATCCATTATCAGTCTGCCACGTTCTGTTGGTACTGCCACTTTATCAACGAGCACGCAGATTACCTCTGTCGTAGTCTTTCGCCCGCTGCTTCTCTTTACTTTCCCATGTCGCTGATGGACCACCTTTCAATCCGGACTCTCTCATTGACTTTTTGACAACGAACTGACTTACTCCTACAAATTTTGATACTTTCAGCCCTTTCTACGGGTATCTCCTTGCTACCTCTACCCCGTTACTATCCCATGGCCCCGCTGTTTTCTGTAACCTGTGATCACTTCCCCCCTCCCTTTCTGCCATCCATTCCTTGCTTCCTTCCCTACCCTGCAGCGCTGTATAGCCCTTGTGGCTTAGCGCTTATTTTTGATTATAATAATAATATGTACTGTGCCAAAATTAAAAGCATTCACATTGCTAAACTCACAAACTAGTATTTAGTCACTTAGCCATAATACCAACTTACCTCATAATTTGTAATATTTTAAAATAAGGAATTAAACTAAGTCTGTATTATTAAGGTATATAGACAGACTGGCTATAAATGACCATAATTTTTAAAGGGGTGGACCGGTAAGCCAGCGGAAGGCCTCGGTCAGATGACCAAAAGCTCCCAAAGGCGGGTCATCATCTGACTAAGACCCGCGTCAGGAAACATTTGTCCTGTTTCCTGACGAACCTTACCTAACCTAACCTAACTAAGTCTGCCCGAAATGCCTAGCCATGCTAGGTGTTCTAGTGGTACACTCTGTAATCATTATTTAACTACATGTAAACCACACAGTAACCAAATTCTGTAAATTCAGCATTGTAATCCTTATAGAGAATAAACTTTGAATTGAATAGTCCTGAGCAAATGAGCGACTCTATGACGTACTATCCATCCCCCCCCCCCCCGTTTGTCATCAAGAAGGCTTTGGACAGGCACCTGTTGTTCGTACGTCGGTTTACGTGCGGCCAACAGTAACGCCTGGGGATCGGGCCCCTTGATCCCCCTTTGAGGCCTGGTCTCAGACCGGGCCGTGGGGGCATTGACCCCTGAAACCCTCTCCAGGTATACACTTACTGCAAGAACGTAAGCTACATAGAATGTACGGCACTTATAGGTAAGACAATAAGTTATATAGACTATAAATGGCACTAAATGTAAGAAAATAAAATATATATAAAACATATGACACTTCTAGGTAAGAAAATAAGTTCAATAGAACATAAACGACACTTTGTTGTGAGTTAGACGAGTGTGTGTGTGAGAGCAGCCGACGCCATGCTGCAGTGACCGTCACACTGCCGCCGCCGCCGCCGCCGCCCTCACCTGCACTAATATTCACTACACTCCTCATCTCACCTCGTACATTATTTATATCGTGGTAGTGAAAAGGAAGCTGCAGCGGTGAATACACAGCATGTCGATGAAAATGGCTCCTGCGTCCATGAAGAGGCAGAGTAAATCAGAATTTAAAGACAAGGAGAAACCCGCTCAGATCAGGAATAGTAATATAGTTGCTGCCAAAGGTTAGTCATAACTATTGATATTTACTTTGTGATGTCAGCCTTTTATTATTTTACATGGAACTTCTTAAAAAGGTGTCTTGATGCTGGTGAAGGGCCCTTGGTCTCTGGAACTCTGCTTTTATTTATTTTTCTTAGATTGAACCAGAATGGCTCTTATATCACAGGAGCCTCACGACCCCTACAGGTTTAGTGCTTCATTCTGATTAAAGTAAAGTAAATAACATTGCTGGTAAAAGGCTTTTGATGCAAGGAATTGAGGCTACCCCACCCAAAATGCTATGAATCCTATGGGCTTTTAAGATTGAGTGTCTTATACAGTAATTTTTTAAATAAGGATTTATATTTGTATCTTCAGATATAATGAGATTGACTCATTCCTCCAGGACTGTATGATCCTTAAGAGTTTAGCGCATAATTATATGCAGGCTCTGGTGGCCTGGTGGCTAACACTCTCTTCACACGGCGAGGGTCTGGGTTCGATTCCCAGCCAGAGTGGAAACATTGGGCGTGTTTCTTTCCACCTGTTGTCTATGTTCCCCATCAGTAAAATGGGTACCTGGGTGTTAGTTGACTGGTGTGGGTCGCATCCTGGGACACTGACCTAAATTGCCCGACATGCTGAGCATAACGAGCGGCTTTATATATAGTAGTATGTCATTGTTGTCAGCTAGGACTGTATACCTTGTACATGTACTTGTAGTAAATAAAGATATTATATTATTATTATTAAGAATGATGAAGCACTGCAGTAGGCCTATTGACCCATGTGGAAAAACCCCAAAACTCGCCCCCACACCCACTCACTTGTATACCCATCAAACCTATATTTAAAGATGCCTCAATGATGCTATCTAGAAGATAATTCCATTCGTCTATGACTAAATTGCCAAATCAATACATTCCTTTATTCTTTCTGTGCTGTATAGCTCTTGTGGTTTAGTGCTTCTTTTTGATTATTATAATAATATTCTTTCTGTAAGATAAGATTTGTTTACATTTTTAACCTGGAGGGTTAGCCACCCAGGATAACTCAAGACAGCCAGTGCATCATTGAGAGACTGTTTTATTTTCACTGGGGTCCTTCAATCTTGTCCCCCAGGATGTGACCTTCAGCAGTTAACTAACACTCAGGTACCTACTTACTGCTAGGTAAACAGGGACAGAAGGTGTAAGGAAACACGCCCAATGTTTCCATCCAGATAGGGATTGAACCACAGACACCGTGAGGCAAGAGCATTGCTTACCGAGCTCCTATGAGTTTAGAATGTAGTAATAATAATACATGTAATCTAAATTTGTCCAAGTTGAATCTGTTGCTCTATCTTGGTTATGTACTTTCAGCATGTTTGTCCTTTATTCCTGTTTTTAACACATTGGCCATTTCCTACCGAGGCAGAGTGACACTTAATCATATACCCCATACGCAGTTCTTACATTTTTTGCTGCAAATTTAGTGCCTGTCTTTATAGGAAAGGCTTTGGATACATGGGATAAACTTTTTCAGCTTTCCCTGGATAGTTCTCTTGGGACGGGAAGTGAGATGTATAATCTAAATGAAGCCTTACCAAAGATATATAAAGTTGAAGTATTGTGTGAGGTCTCCTATTACAGTGGTCCCTCAATAATCGTCCGGCCTGAAAGTCGTCCATTTCGGAAATTTGTCCTGTTTTTTCGTCAAAAACATTGACTCGGGAAAAGGTCCGGTAACTCGCTAATAGTCCTTCGTCCCCGGGGGTACTTATGGTCTGAGCCGCCTCCAGCTGCCTCGGCCTTTCCTTCCCAGCCAGTGTGCCATTGTTTACCAGTGAGCGACGGTCCCCTCACGTGCTCCAGCGAAATATTTCTTTTCATTTTTTTAGGCTTGCAATTTATTTAAAGTGCTAAAAAAGTACGGGCCCCAAAAAGAAAGCTCCTAGTGCCAAGCCTTTGGGAAAGAAGGTGAGAATCGTTGAATTTTAAGAAAAAAAAATTGAAAAAAATTTTATTGTGTGTAGTGTGGGGGGAATGGCCCGGTTGTATAAAAAATCCCGTCATCATAGCAAAAAAAAGGAAAATCATGGTGTGTTGTTGCAAAGGGGGTATATATGCTGACAAAAATGAGACACCAGTACTTGAAGATTTTTTAGAAGTTGTTTTGGTGTGGTAAAGAAAAAACAATTAGCAGGGATAGTCTTATGAGTCGCTTATTTTTGAAAAGGCTAGGCAGTTGCATGCGATTTTGGGAAAGAATTGCTGAACTGTGAATTTTTGAGTGAATTTAAGGCCAGCAAAGGCTGGTTTGAGAGATTAAGGGAAGATACTGGCATTTATTGTGGTAAGGCCCTGGTGTGGCTGCCAGTTCGGACCACAAGGCGGCTGAAAAATGTTGTGCATAAAATTTAGGAGTACACAGAGGTGAAGGAACTGAAACCTGACAAGTGTTCATTGTGATGAAACAGGCCTTTTTGGAAGAAATTTGCCAAGTGGACCTAATTACTCGGAGAGGAAAAGCGTGCCAGGACTAAGCCTATGAAAGACAGGCGACGCCATGTTCTTGTATTGTATTTGGGGATTTCAAAGTGAAGCCTTACTAGTGTTCCATTCTGAAATCCAGAGTGTTCAGGAAAAAACAATGTTTTAAAGGGAGTAAATTGTTTTTGTTTTTTGGGAAAATTCTAATAGTAAGGCATGGGTCACGAGGGAATTTTTTGTACAGTGGTTCAATGAAGTTTTTGGGGCCCTAGTTTTGAGAATTACCTCCTGGGAAGAAATTGGATCTCAAGTGCCTCCTAGTAATGAACATGCACCTGCTCACCCTCCAAACTTGGATGAACCTAATTCTGAAGGATTTTTGGGTTCATCACTTTTAAAGTTCTGCCCCCGAATACCACTCCTCTCCTCCAGCATGGACCAGCAGGTCATTGCAAGCTTTAAAAAAACTCTACACCAAAGCAATGTTGAAAAATGCTTGAATGTGACCTCAGACACTCACTTGACCCTACGAGATTTTTGGAATGAACCCATTTCAGTATTCTCCATTGCGGAAAACCTTATAGGTAAGGCTTTGGAAGGGAGTGACTACCAGGACTTTGAACAATGCTTGGAGAAAATTGTGGCCAGATTGTGTTCACAAGAGGGATTTTGAAGGGTTTGGGGCTGACCCTGATGAGCCTATGTCAGTTGTTAAATCCATTGTGGCACTGGGGACTTCCATGGGGTTTGGAGGATGTGGAAGAGTTGGTGGAGGACCACAATGAAGAGCTAACCACTGAGGAGTTGCAAGAGCTTCAGCAGGAACAGCAACAGATCGCAGCTCAGAATCTTGCTGCAGAGGAGGAGGAAGAGAGATGGAGGAAGGTGCCTTCTTCAGAATTTAAGAAGATTTTTGAAATGTGGGGTAGGAGAAGGATGTTGCAAGCCATATCGGCAACTTGTACAGTGACAGAGTCTTGGCCCATTTTAGGGGAAGTTTTAAAGAGACGCCTGAAAAAATGCTTTTTTGGACTTTTTTTTTTGCGTGACAGGACCCCAGTGTTTCAAGGTGGTCTAGGGCTTTAAAGGGAAAAGAGAGAGAATTTAACCCCAGAAAAGCAATTGGTACCTGGGGTGTTTTGGGAAGGGGGTTTCCCCCTTCCCAAAGTAATTCATCCAATCAGTCTCCTTCTCCGTTTTTCCAACCAAAGAAAAAATCCCCCAATAAAGGCAAATGTTATTTGTTAATTTTTAAATTTCTCATTGCCACTGTTTTGGTTTATGTATTATTATTTTTATTTCGGGTTAAAAAATTTTTTTTTTTTAATATTCTGGGTGTTCGGGAAAACTTTTTAAAGGGAAATTTTTCTTTATTTTTTAGGGGAATATTGTTCGTAAATGTCATTTTTGAAAATTTGCCCCAAACTTAAGGAAGGGATTATGGCGATTTTTGGGAAGGGGCCCCCCCCCCAAAACCGTTTTTGTTGTTTTCTTTATCCCAAAACCCCTATTAGTTTTTTTGGGTGTTTATTTGGTGCTTTATTGTTTTTTTTTTTCTTTTTGTGCAAAAGGACCCCTTTAATCTGTTTTAAATTTCAGCTTGTTTCAAGATCTCATTATTAAAACCTTAAATTTTTTCCACATTAAATTGTATAACCTCGCTCCCAAACCACATAAAACCTATGCACCCATAAAAAGTGGGGGTTGCCTCATTGTTTGAACCCTTTTGGGTTAGTGTTCTATTACAATACAAAAAAGAGCTGTTTCAAATAAAGGCTAAAAACTTTTCTTGTATGTAAAACTTGACTTTAAAAAACAAAATTGGGGACCGGGGATACAGAAAAACCCTGGGGCCCCCATGCTCCCCACTAAGGGTATAAAGTAATATTTTATTTACCCTTTTTTTTTAAAGCTACCAAGGTTTTTTAGCTTTGTATACGGGTAAATGTCCCAAATATGAATTATTTTTTAATTTTTAAAATTTCAGGGGCCCCCAAACATTCGTGGAAATCGCATTGAAAAAAATCTGACATTCGATGGGATTTGTCTCGTTTCGCACGAGACGTGTCCACGTGTGGCCTGAACTGCACCGTGTGCCAGTGTTTACAAGCCAGCCAGTGTGTGCGCATCTAAGGATACATTCGGTACATTCCATATCACTTTTTTTGGTGCTTGTTTCTGCAAAATAAGTAACCATGGGCCCCAAGAAAGCTTCTAGTGCCAAGCCTTCGAGAAAAAAGGAGCTAATGACTATTGAAATGAAAGAGATAATTACAAAGTATGAAAGTGGAGTGCGTGTGTCGGAGCTGGCCAGGTTGTATAGTAAACCCCAATCAACCATCTCTACTATAGTGAGCAGGAAAATGGCAATCAAGGAAGCTGTTGTTGCAAAAGGTGCAACTTTGTTTTCGAAACAGAGATCGCTAGTGTTAGAAGATGTTGAGAGACTTTTATTGGTGTGGATAAATGAAAAACAGATAGCAGGAGATAGCATCTCTCAAGCGATCTTTTGTGAAAAGGCTAGGCAGTTGCATGATGATTTGGTAAAGAAATTGCCTGCAACTAGTGCTGATGTGACTGACTTTAAGGCAAGCAAAGGTTGGTTTGAAAGATTAAGAATCATAGTGGCATACATAGTGTGATAAGGCATGGTGAAGCTGCCAGTTTGAACCACAAAGCGGCTGAAAAATATGTGCATGAATTCAAGGAGTACATAGAGGCTGAAGGATTGAAACCTGAACAAGTGTTTAACTGTGACGAAACAGGCCTGTTTTGGAAGAAATTGCCGAGCAGGACCTACATTACTCGGGAGGAAAAGGCACTCCCAGGACATAAGCCTCTGAAAGACAGGCTTACTCTGTTAATGTGTGCCAATGCTAGTGGTGATTGCAAAGTGAAGCCTTTATTGGTGTATCACTCTGAAACTCCCAGAGTGTTCAGGCAAAAGAATGTCCTTAAGGCTAATTTGTGTGTGCTGTGGAGGGCAAACAGTAAGGCATGGGTCACTAGGGACTTTTTCTATGACTGGTTACACCATGCATTTGCCCCCACTGTGAAAAATTACCTAACTGAAAAAAAATTAGACCTTAAGTGCCTCCTGGTATTAGACAATGCCCCTGGTCATCCTTCAGACGTGGCAGAGCGACTTTCTGCAGACATGAGCTTCATTAAGGTGAAGTTTTTGCCTCCTAATACCACTCCTCTCCTGCAGCCCATGGACCAGCAGGTCATTTCCAACTTCAAGAAACTGTACACAAAAGTTACATTTCAAAAGTGCTTTGTAGTGACCACATAAACTCTACTGACTAAAAGAGTTTTGGAAGGATCACTTTAATATCCTCAGTTGCATAAACCTTATAGGTAAGGCTTGGGAGGAAGTGACTAAGAGGACCTTGAACTCTGCTTGGAAAAAACTGTGGCCAGAATGTGTAGACAAAAGGGATTTTGAAGGGTTTGAGGCTAACCCTGAGAATCCTATGCCAGTTGAGGAATCCATTGTGGCATTGGGGAAGTCCTTGGGGTTGGAGGTTAGTGGGGAGGATGTGGAAGAGTTGGAGGAGGAGGAGGACAGTGACGAACTAACCGCTGATGAGCTGCTAGATCATCTTCAACAGCAAGAGGCCAGACCTGAGGAAACTGCTTCAGAGGAGGGGATAGAGAAATTGAAGTTGCCTACTTCAAAGATTAAGGAAACGTGTGGAAAGTGGCTTGAAGTGCAAACCTTTTTTGATGAAAATCACCCTGACACCGCTACTGCAAGCCGTGTTGGCAACCTGTACACTGACAATGTTGTGAACCACTTTAGGAAAGTCATAAAGGAGCGAGAGGTACAGGCCTCTATGGACAGATATGTTGTGCGACAGAAGTACAGTGACTCAAGCTGGTCCTAGTGGCATTAAAAGAAGGGAAGTAACCCCAGAAAAGGACTTGCTACCTCAAGTCCTAATGGAAGGGGATTCCCCTTCTAAACAGTAACAACCTTGACTCTCCCCTCCTCCCATCCCATCAATCATCACCAGATCTTCATTAAAGGTAAGTGTCAATTATTCTGTTGTTATTAATGTATAATTATTGCTGTTATTGTAATTATTTTATTGCATTAAACTTAATATTTCATGTGGTAAAATTTTTTTTTCATACTTTTGGGTGTCTTGCACGGATTAATTTGATTTCCATTATTTCTTATGGGGAAAATTAATTCAACTTTCGATATTTTCGACATTCGATAGCTCTCAGGAACGGATTTGTATCGAATGTCAAGGGTCCACTGTACTATGATTTTAGGAGGAATATGTATTCATTATTTAGTTTTGTCTCCAATTTCTATTGCAGCTGTGGCTGATGCCATCAAAACTTCCCTTGGCCCAAGAGGCATGGATAAGATGATCCAAGATGGGAAGGGTGAAGTCACAATTACAAATGATGGTGCAACCATTTTAAAGCAGATGAAAGTGCTTCACCCAGCTGCTAAGATGCTTGTTGAACTCTCACAAGCACAGGATGCTGAGGCTGGAGATGGTACTACAACTGTAGTCATCTTGGCAGGTAAAATACATATCTTAATATTTTTAACTGTAGAGCCAGTTTATTCATAAAATCTTGTAGCTATATTACTTTCCTCAGCTATATTACTATGCTTTATCTTAAAAGATAAAGCATAGTAATATAGCTTGAGGAAAACAAAGTAGCACTGTTTATGGAACTTCATATGTACATGACTAGGAGAGAGTTACTTGAAATATTGCAGCCCATATGCATTATTTCTTAATGGCATATTTTAGTTTTCTTCAGTATTAACTTTAGAAAATTAAGGAAAAAAATTATTACTCATGAGCCTGAAAAAGATTACAGTAGATATACAAAATTTGATACAAAAATGGCCACAAAAGGAAGTGACTAATTCTGCAGTGCATTTCTTGCAAACTGCTCATAAGGCTTGCGTATCAAAGTCTAGACCTAGCACATTATTTAAGACAAATTGTGTTGTTCGCTACAGTGAGACAGGTTGTAAATAAAAGGTCACTTTATAGAGAATTACTTAGTACAGATACCATCCGACTTACTACCAAGCTTGGTTCCGACCAACCGGTCGTAAGTCAAAATGGACGTAAGTCGAACCTTTGAAAATTGCCGACATGCTGGGTAGGGCATAAAGTCAAACCTTTCCTTTTATAAACTACCTACATAATACTGTAAATGTACAATCATTATTTCATTCTTTTTACCATAATTTACTTTTGTTATATTTTAATTGTTTATGTACTTTATATAATGTATACATGGTAGTGAACTGTATTGTAAATTTTACATCGCATACAGTATCATATGTTACTGTTATCTTTATGTATTGTCGACACAGTGGAATGGGAGAATACCACTGGTAGTGTCACCGTGTCAGAATGTAGTATAACCTATACTCTATACTCTCCATCTTGACTCACGAAATCGTAATGACACGATTGCAAACAAACCATACCCCGGCCGGGATTGAACCCGCGGTCAGAGAGTCCTCAAAACTCCAGCCCGTCGCGTTAGCCACTAGACCAGCTAGCCACAATAAGATTCGTCCAACTAGGTATATTTCTACAACCATAGGAAGGTTAGCACAGGCACCACTGTGACCACAAATGCAAGTTTTTACAGACGAATCTCTAGCTAGCATGGCCGTGACCAACTCTAGCTCAAGTCCCTTCACTGCCGTCAACATGACTCACGAAATCGTAATGACACGATTGCCTGTGCTAACCTTCCTATGGTGTAGAAATATACCTAGTTGGACGAATCTTATTGTGGCTAGTGGTCTAGTGGCTAACGCGATGGGCTGGAGTTTTGAGACTCTGACCGTGGGTTCAATCCCGGCCGGGGTATGGTTTATCTCCATCTCTCTCTGTATCTGTATCTCTCTCTCTCTGTATCTCTCTCTCTGTAACTGTATCTCTCTGTATCTATCTGTCTCTCTCTGTATCTACCTGTATCTCTCTGTATCTGTCTGTATCTCTCTCTCTGTATCTCTCTCTCTGTATCTCTCTGTATCTCTCTGTATCTCTCTCTCTGTATCTCTCTCTCTGTATCTCTCTCTCTGTATCTCTCTCTCTGTATCTCTCGCTCTGTATCTCTCTCTCTGTATCTCTCGCTCTGTATCTCTCGCTCTGTATCTCTCTGTATCTCTCTCTCTGTATCTCTCTGTATCTCTCTCTCTGTATCTCTCTCTCTGTATCTCTCTCTCTGTATCTCTCTCTCTGTATCTCTATCTCTGTATCTCTATCTCTGTATCTCTCTCTCTCTCTCTCTCTCTCCTCTCTCTCTCTCTCTCTGTATCTCTGTATCTGTATCTCTCTCCCTTTCTGTATCTCTCTATCTCTCTGTATCTCTCTCTATCTCTCTGTATCTCTCTGTATCTCTCTCTATCTCTCTCTATCTCTCTGTATCTCTCTCTATCTCTCTGTATCTCTCTCTGTGTGTATCTATCTGTATCTCTCTCCATCTCTCTCTATCTCTCTATCTCTCTCTGTATCTCTCTGTATCTATCTCTCTGTATCTCTCTCTCTCTGTATATCTCTCTGTATCTCTCTCTCTCTGTATATCTCTCTGTATCTCTCTCTCTCAGTTATCTCTCTCTGTATCTCTCTCTCTCATCTCTCTCTCTCTATCTCTCTCTCTCTATCTCTCTCTCTCTATCTCTCTCTCTATCTCTCTCTCTGTATCTCTGTATCTCTCTATCTCTGTCTCTCTTTCTCTCTCTCTGTCAGGTACATGTAAGTAAAGTTATCATACATAGTATAAATTACCTAGGATAACCCAAAAACTCCAGACAAAGTGCTATACAGTGGATCTGTGCTCCAGTGCCCTAAATTAATAATAATAATAATGATATGTTGTGTAACTTTATACGTATATGCTTCTAAACTGTTGTATTCTGAGCACCTCTGCAAAAGCAGTGATAATGTGTGATGTGTGGTGAAAGTGTTGAATGATGATGAAAGTATTTTCTTTTTGGGGATTTTCTTTCTTTTTTGGGTCACCCTGCCTCGGTGGGAGAACGACCGACTGTTGAAAAAAAAAAAAATTATTATTTTACAATAATTCATATGTACTAATATTAATAATAATATTATTAAACTATAATATAATGTGTCACTCATTACTTACTTAAAATATCTGTTGTCTTAACCCTTAAACTGTCCAGACAGATCTACGTTCACATGCGTAGTGCTCCAAAAGTAGATCTACATTTTTTAACATATTTTCAAATATAACAAAAAAAAAATGTTGATCAAAGTTTTTTTTACACGTTTTCAAATGTAAAAAAGAAAAAAGCTGTTTTTTTTATATACTTTCAAATGTTGAAAAAAACGTAGATCTACGTTTGGACAGTTTAAGGGTTAATATAGAGTGAGAGGTGAGTAAACAAGATTAAATGAATAAGTGAGAGAGAAAATGAGAGAGTAGAAGGTTCACATGTTATGTAACAAACGTTGTTGTTGTTGTTGTTACCAGCCCGGACACAAATGGTTTTTGTTTACTGTCAAGCTGACCAGAACATTTCATATTGTTAATTTATATATTTATATGTTATGTAGCATGTTTATTATATAATTTTGAAAAAAATCATAGATGGATTAAGCAAAATGTCTGTATTAACGTTTTATACACATTTAATGCGCCTCAGTGATGTACCTCTTAACATAACGATAAACGGATCACCTATCACAAAGCTATACAGAGGGAAAATTCTTAGGAATCCACCTCGATAATAGACTCAAATTTCATACACATATACAACAAATTTCTAAAAAAATTTCCAAGACTGTAGGCTACTATCGAAGATACGGTACTATGTTCCACAGTCAGCCCTCCTGCCCTTTATCACTCTCTTATTTACCCCTATCTCCCCTTTTGGGAAATTTGTGCATGGGCTCAAAAAACAATTAACCATCTCAGACCACTAATTACCCAACAAAAGGCTGCAGTTAGAATGATAACAAATTCTCATTTACAGGCAGCACACTCCACCAGTTTCAAAACACTCAACCTACTCACCATACAAAACATCCATACTTATTATTGCACTTATTACATACATAGAACACTTAACTCTGTATTAACCCTCCCCTCAAACATCTCCTTGTCAACCTCAACAGAAACACATGACCATAATACAAGGCACAGATCACTCTTTGATGTTCCTCGTGTCCATCTCACGCTATGCAAAAACTCAATGCACTTTAAAAGCCCTAAAATCAGAAATTCATTACCTGTAAATATAAAAGAAACACTACCTGTTTATATAAATTCAAGTCTCTTCTCAAAGTTCACTTACTCACTCAAACCAAATAATACTGAATAACTGAACCATATAAATTGTATATCTAAATGTTACTCACAATTATATCACACAAATGTTAAACCTAACTTTGTTATTTTTTTTTTTAATACACTACCTGAATTAACAGCAATGCATGCAACCACATGACCTGTCTTTGTAATACTCATTTGTATTTTATAGTTATCTGTTTACAATAATGTCTTATCATGATTTCATCATTGCTTAGTTAATCTTAAGTTAATTTTAACCACCCGTAATGCTATGCATATAAGTGGTTTTGGGGCATGCTCCTCTTACCTGTATTTTTTGTATCTCTGTATGTATGCTAAAATTTATTTATAAATTATCATTTTTAAACCCCCTTCAGGGTCCAAGGCCAAAATCTGAAGTGGTGCTCCAGTGTCCAAGAAATTTTGAAAAAAAAAAAATTTTGTTTCTTACAGAATTAAAGAGCATATTTTTGTAAAGGTAATAAGAAAAATTTTCTGATCATACTTACCGAGATACAGTGCCAAGAAGTTTGTCCAAAATGATGTGGTGCGGGCAAACATCGACGAATTCCACATATGTGCATTACATTATTTAGCGGTTTTTATATTTTTTCTTTTCTTTTCAATTTTTTTTTTTTTCCTACTAACTTTTTGGGGCCTGAAGACCAATACTGTATATAATGTATATATATAAACTCACTGTATTGAACACAATAACCGAACTAAAGTTATTATCATATTATTGTTTACCACTGTTGTTTATTACAATAAACATGCAAAAAATCTTGATAATACAGGGGAAACCCCCGCTTAACGATCACCTCCTAATGTGACCATTATGTAAGTGTATTTATATAAGTGCGTTTGTACTGTATGTTTGTTGGTCTGAAATGGACTAATCTACTTCACAATATTCCTTATGGGAAAAAATTCGGTTAGTACTGGCACCTGAACATACTTCTGGAATGAAAAATATCGTTAATCGGGGGTCCACTGTACTAATTTTTCTATCATATATTTACATTTTTACAATCACTGGACAGGGTTTTTTAGAACTGCGGGAGCTTGGGGAACCCCTTGGAAACAAGGCACCTGCACAGAGGCACCTTTACATTCCTCACACATAAACCGAGTGTCTTTGTGTCTTTTTTGCCGTCGTTTTGTTTGTGCACAGACGATGCATCTCTTCTGAGCAAATTTCTTCTGAGTTGAAGGAAGCTGTATTATGAAATGATCACCTTCCCTCCTCAAACGCTTGGGTATATCCTGAGTAATTTGAGGACCTTGTTGTAAA